AACATCCAAGCTCTTATCTGGCCATTTGTAGGCGTGTCTGCTTCATTGTCTGCCCGCCGGAATAGAAAAGATGGGCAGGGACCCCTAGAGACGCCCAGATTTGGACCTAACCTCTCAATGACACAACACAATAAGTCCACGGCCTATGAACTACAAAAGCCAGACATCGACTGACCGGTCATGCATTGATTCCTGAGATGTAAGCAATCAGATGCTCTCATGTGAGGGCAGTAAATGTAAGGAGCCAGCAGTGACCACTAATGACTGATGCTTTTAGTTGTTACTGGATCATTTGAACATGCAGTAATATGTATAATTATGACATTTAACCATGTTGATTAACATTTTTCTGGATCAGCGTGGTTTAGGGAATTAACAGTGAATGCTTATCTTCCATGCACCGTCACATACAACTTTTCATGTGATTTTTACACCACAAACATTGAAGCTTCGTAGCTTGTCACTGATCTGTGGCCAGTTAGTCTCAATCAGATGCTCTCATTTCAGGGCTGTTAATGTAAACAAGTAGCGACCACAGATAATTTATGCTTTTAGTTGTTACTGGATCATTTAAACATGCAGTAGTATAGATTATTATTAGTTTTAGGGATTACCAGTGAAAGTTTGAGGGCGGTAAATGTAGAGAAATAGTGCTGACCACTAATGACTGATGCTTTTTATAGGTACTGATAAATAATTGAGATAATTACAAACAACCGCCATTTTAATCAACTGTTTTTCTGAAACCATGCAGATTTAGCAACTGCAAGTAGACGTTTATTACCATGAACAAAACAAACAGTCTTAATTGTGATTTTTACATAACTAAAGTTGAAGTTTGGTCATTTGTCGCTGATCTTCGGCCAGTTAGTTGCATCAGATGCTCTCGTTTATGATAGTAAATGTAAAGAAGAAGTAGTGACCACTTGTGATTTATACTCTTCATTGGTATGGTAAATAATTTATACCTGCAATTATACAGATACTTGTGAAAGATGACCATTTAAATTAGCCATTTTTCACACAATGTACAACTTTAATTGTGATTTTTACACCAAAAAAGTAAAAGTTTGGTCATTTGACCACTAATAATTTAGGCTTTTACTTCTTACTTGATCGTTCAAACATGCAGTAGTGTAGATACAGAGTGCTGTAGACATAGTAGTATAGATTATTGTGAAATTTAACCATGTTCATCATCCTTTTCCTGTATCTGCATGGTTGTAGGAATTACCAGTGAACGTTATTTACCATGCACACAGTGTACGGCTTTAGTTGTGATTCTTACACCATGAAATTTTGCCATTTGTGACTGATCCTTGGCCAGTTAGTCACAATCAAATGCTCTCATGTGAGTGCAGTAAATGTAAGGAACCAGCTGTGACCACTAATGATTAGTGCTTTAAGTTGTTACTGCAGTAGTATAGATTATTATGAATTTCAACCATGTTTATCGACTATTTTTCTGGATTCGTTTGGTTGTAGGAGTCACCAATGAGCATTTATTTCCATGTGTGCAACATACAGCTTTTAATGTGATTTTTACACCACTGAGGTTGAAGTTTGGTCATTTGTCACTGATCTTTGGCCAATTAGTTGCAATCAGATGCTCTTATGTGAGGGCAGTAAATGTAGAGAACAAATAGTGACCACTACTAATTTATGCGTTTTAGTTGTTGGTAGATCATTTAAAAATGCAGTAGTATAGATTATTGTGAAATTTAACCATGTTCATCAACATTTTCCAGGATCTACATGGTTATAGGATTTACCAGTGAATGTGTATTACCATGCACACAATGTACGGCTTTAGTTGTGATTCTTACCCACTAACTTCTTCACCATTAATGTTGAAGTTTGGTTGTTTGTCACTGATATTTGGCCAGTTAGTTGCAATCAGATGCTCTTATGTGAATACAGTAAAATGTAAACTACACGTACTGACCCTCAGTGTCTGATGGTTTCCATTGGTACTGATGAGGTCAATAATTTAGACCTGTGATTATTAAAGATAATCAGTGATTGTTCTAGCACCACAAGGATTTACCAACTTCAACTAGACTTTCATTACCGTGCAATCAACAAACAGCCTTAATTGTGTTTTTTTTTTTTTTAACACCACAAACATGCGTGTTCGGTCACTTTTCACTTTTAGTGAAACTGTGTCCTTGGCTACCTATTTATTATATCAGTTTTTGAGGACTACCCAAGTATGTTATACCCCATGAGATGACGATTTCATGAGTTTGGACAACAAACTCCAACATAACAGAGACCTAGTTCCAAAAGGCATCAGTTGAAGGCAGAGATAGAAGACATCCTATATTTGTCCATAAAACATTTGAAATGTTATTGAAGTGTCTTCAAAGGACACCGAATAAACATATTGTAAGGTTGCCCACGGTCACACACACAAATCGCCCCAAAGGGGATTGCTGGGAAGTAATCTAATCATTTCTTTTAACTGAGACACAGTGACATGCAGTGTAGATAATGATCCCCATGAAAAATGTACTGTATTTTCAAAAGAATATTCCCTGTCTGCTGACATTAACATAAAGATAGTTCTACATCCTGGAGCCATATCAACAACATGTACTTATGTTTGGTTCCTCATATTTGCATATGCAAATATTTTTTTTAAATTTTAATTCAGTCCTTTTATGTGACTTTGTGTGATGAACAAGCGGCATCAAGTGGTTGCACAATGAGGGTTCACCACCACCAAGAAGAAGCATTTATGTCATTTTAGACCAAGCTTATAGCATTATAGCTGAAATTAACCACAGTTTAATATAGATTTTTACACATCTATCATATTCAATGGCACAGTGTGAATATGCATTGTTGTTTGGGTGTATGGGCTGCCATGCGAAATTAGTCGCTTTGCTTTGTTGGAATAACGGGGCGGGGTGTTGAGTGAGGGGGTTTGTTGAAGTTATACCGCTGACATTTTGATCTCTGCAGTGCATTAGAAGAATTCAGTTAAACATATTTGTGTAGGTTTCACGGGAGGAAGGTATAGTGCTCGAAACAACAGGGTGCCGTGACCCTTCACTTTGCTTACATAATTTGCAGCAGAATGCAAAAAGCTTTTAGACACAGATGTGACCCATTGTAATACCTTTCTAAATGCAATCAAACACTTTCTACAAATATGAGCAGGACTTTTTAAATGTGAACCCTTGTTTGACATGTAATTTTGTCCAACCCACTCCTCTTTCATTTCTCCATCAGCTCTCTCCAGTTATGCCCACATTTTCAGTTGATGAAATAGCTTGACAAAACACTAGTTTGTGTTCTATGCCTGCTTTGAATGAGGTCTTTTTTTTAGAGATTTAAACAGATGTTGGGGCCAAAAGAAAATGTAACATTTTGTAATGGCTGTGCAGTGTGGTTCTCAATATGTTCCTCTCTCACAATTTATCAAGATTGCTTTACATGAGTTTTTTGTGTGTGTGTGTTTTCTTCCTGATTTCTAGCTCAGGACATAAAATAATCATCCCCAGAACAAGCTGTTTGTAACCTCGCATGGAGATTGTCTGCATCAGCAAACAAAGAACATGTTATTTGATAAGATGCTTAGATAGATGATTCTTTACTTTCATATGTCTGCACGATTACAAGGCACAAATGGTGAAAAGAGGGGGAAACCAAGCAGGTCGACTCTCTTTGTATGTCTCTTTCACAGTGTACCATGAATTGCCTCTTGAAGACAGTTAGAAATTAGACTTTCAAATGAGGCATTAAACAAGGTGATGATCAACTGCCAAACCTTAAGTAATGATATTCTCCATCCTCAAGTCCCCAGCCTTGCATAACCAAATGCACAAATCACAGAAAAAAGAACTGAAAATACATTATTATTACATATTGTGTTCACACGTCAGTCCCCGGGGACCGGGGGGGACATCACCGACAGATAAGCATGTTTGGGTGGCCCCTACCATCAGCTGGGGAAGGGCTGCGCTTGGATCTTGAGGGGGGCCCCCTCATGGGTATCACTTATTTTAAATCCTGAGCCACACCATCTCACCCCCCCTCTCTTTTGCCCCCCTCGCCCCAGGCTCCACCCAGAAGTGTGGTTGCCTTTGTCATTGTAATCTGGCCCTGTTTGCTAAACGCTTCCACTGTTTACTCTCTGCTATGGGGGCTTGTATGAACAGGAGTCAGCAGGACGCAGGGTGACATCACTTTGGCTGGGGGGGTGTTTGAAAAGCTGCATTTGTGATTTCTCGGGGCCCCTTTCTTCTTTTATTCTTCCCTGTCTCTATCCAGGCCTGTCGAACGCATGAGCTAACTCAGGAGGCTAACATGGCCTACAGGGAGGAATTACACCTAATTACTTGAATAACTGCTAGGCAGCAGCCTTCCGTAGTCACCGAAAATCATTTCCAGGTCCCTGCCTTTTACTGATAGCCAGACTTCTTGTCACAGAAAAGCCCAGACAAAGCTTTTACATTCAAATGGTCCAGGAGAAATGAAACAGACTGACAGGTACAAACATTAAAAAGGGGGGAAATCAAATTAACAGACAAGGATTTCATATCATCTATTTTTGTTGTTGCCGTAGCGATAAAGTCGCAGACATTGAAACTGGTCTGTTGAGCCATTGTTATCATCCCTGGCCATCTGCTGCTGAGGAGTGACATTCCCTCTCATTTGCATGATGAGTGATGTATGAGGAGCTTGGGAGGGCATATGCCCTGGTCTTATGACAAAGCAAGAGAAAGTTTTTTTTAAACACATAGAATAAGGATTGATATATATGAATAAGGCTGGAAGAAGGAGCAGCTAAAAAAAGGGAATAAATCACCTGTGAGTGTATATGTGTGTGCACACGTGTGTGTTTGCCTGCATTTATGTTGCATCTTCGCTAAGCGCACACAAATCTGTGGTGTCTGTGCATGTGTCTGTGTGAGTGTACGCGCGCATGAGTAGAGGCTAGTGCGCGCATCTGCCTTCTTGTGTGCCTGTTTGTGTGTTTTGCGGATGTGGGAGTAGAGCGAGGAGGGGGGTTGGTGGCTGTTGATGTGCAAATGTGCATCATGTTGAAGGGCTGTGAATGGGGAGGTGTGACGTAAAAAGGGACCCGAACGCAGGTGCTTATCTCGAGGCTGTCAAAGGCACAGTATGTCATATTCCTGGGGACTACCTTTCAAAGCCACAGCACCAGCTCAGCTATCAAGAGACTGGGAGAAAATCAAACTTTTTGGATCACAGCACTAGGTTGGTGTCAAAGTTCTTTTTATTTAATATACTGTCAGTTTGGTCAGCATTTATCATCACTGATACTCTGTGTCGCATACGTGAAGCCTTTTAGCTCATGCTGTTAGATGCTGTCATGTGAAAACAGGAGTGTTATAAACTTAGATTTGCACTGAGATTTACTCAGCTGCTAAACTTGTGTTCTGCGGATTTCACGAGCTTATGTGAAATAGCATTGTGCTGGCAATTGTTTTCAACTGTGTCAGGCAGTATTTAGAAAATATTGCACTGCTGATGAACATTGTTTGCTTGATACAAATCAGTGTTCTTAAAATCTTTGCTGGAAAGCGAGCGCAGCTTCAGTGCAGGTTTCAGACAGTTTGAGAAGAGATTAAATGGCTCAAACTGTTTTTTGAGAGGCATGACCTATTTTTGATCATCCAGATAGCATGAGATACTGTCTATCTAGATTAAATTCACAGCATTTGTGTGGAGTATAAGCTTGTCTTAGAAGAGCACATGTTCGTATTGTGTGCAGAGACAAAGCATTGTCAGGTTGCCTGTGGCTTTGACAGTGACAGCTGTACATACAAGACCACTGAGCCTAATGCACTTAAACATTGACTCTGTGTTCCAATAACATATTTGAACAGTCAGTGAAGTATTTTATTGCGTCCTGCTCTGGCTTTCTGTAATTTGCATTGTAAGTCTGGTAAAGTTAGAAAACTACATGCTAATGTTGACTGTAGTGTGGCAGTAATATTGTCTACAAATCAGATTTTGTGTTATAATTTGCCTTAGATTTGTCTTAACTCATCAAAGCATTACATCCTGATCTGAATATCTGTAATTATCTGCACTGTGACTGTGGTAAAGTTTAAAAAAAGATATGCTAATGCTACATGTAGTGTGATCACAGTCTACCAGTGAACTTTTGTCTTATATGTTGGCAAGTTTGAACAAATTCAGAGGGGCAAAAGCACTCGACAGTCTCCAGAGCAACTATTGATTTAGGAGGACGGATGTTGGTTGGAAAAGTTCATCATTTACTAGTAACGTGCGGCACACTAATGGCTCAGGAGCTGCTTTAATATCCAACTTTAAGTTGTGAAACACAAGTAGGATATTTTTAAATGAGAGCAGATTTAGGCCTGAGTCTTTTTAGATTCAGATTATTCTTATGAGCAGCAGAAAATGAACAATCTAGAGTCTATAAGTGAGAATATGTACGTAAACTAACATCTGCCAGTCATATCTATTGCCATGTCTTTCAGAGACTTTATACTCTGCGACTGAGGTGTTAAATCATTTTTAGGTTTGGAGAATTTCACCGGAAAATTTGGAAATTTTTCAGTGCTAAAATAAATTGAAATGCCGGTTGTCATTCTGCCTGTTAGCCTCCATTTAATCACAACTCTGATCAGCTTATTCCAGTCAGCTCGCATCTCTCAACAAACAAGAAAAGAGCAACAAAAGACATTAGATAACACAGCATTGTGTAACAGTGTCACATCTCGGTAATCCTTTGAGAAAGTTTGGCGAGTTATTCAGAGGCGATAAGAAGACAGGACCTGTGAGCGAGGTTATAAAGTTACACCTCGACTCTTTGTTTTAATTAAAAGCAGCACAGGCTGCAGCAGGGCTGTGTGGTACAGCAGTGATAAGTGAGAGGCATTATTCCTCTCTGCTCCCCGCCCTCTGCTTCAAAGCACAGGGATGTTAGTTGCTACACAACATATAAATGTAACCTCTGCTCGCCTCCAGGAACTGTCCATGGTACCTGCTGCAAAACAAAACTGGAGCCACTGACTTATTCACACAGCTGCAATGCACACGAAACTTCTGTAGTGGAAAATAAATATTTTCACCTGTTTCTATCAATCTTCAAAAAATAAATAAAATATAAAGTTATTCAGATTTCTAATACCTTCTTTTAATTTTAAGTCAACAGCCGTCGGGTGCACACAATGTACACGACAAAATCACGCGAAAATGCTCAGCATACATGTCAGCCTCTTATATATTGTGTTACCTGCTTTTTTTTCACCCTACTCAAACTTCAGTTAGTTAATCCAGGAAAATGAATTATGTGGATTTAATTCAACAAGGTCTCAGAAATGATCCATCTGCTGTTGAGCAGCTGGTGAAAGGATAAATGTAATTAATTACTTAACTTTTGAACAGTATTCCAGACAAAAACACTGCTGTTTATGTGTCCTGCTGGGAAAAAATGTAAAGCAACACTGTGATATATATACACCTTTCAAATTATTATTTTCTCTCTTTAGTTCTTAGAAACATATTTTAATTAAATAGTCTGTTCAGGTAGCCTCCTATATCGTTTAAAATTAGTATTGTGTAAATGTATAATCTATGTATGTTTAAATATTTGTTATAATATATGACTTTAAAATGTTATTAGTAAGATTGCATAAATTAAATTTCAGCCATAATAAAAAATTAAAATAAATATTAAAATATATAATTAAGTGTGTAGAATTGTAAGTAAAAGCAATTCTTATTATATAAACGATACAGATTTACACTGTAATTTTTTTATTTTTTTTTCTAGTTGTTCCTTTAGAAGTGGACTGATCCTGTGCAGACACTAATTATTACTACAAAAATCATTTTAAAATCTTAGTTAAATGTTAGTGTTGTATAATGGCAGTCATATTTCGTAGCTTGGTTCTTCTTTACAGCAAAAATGATGTTAAAATGTTAACAAGGTTAAAACAGGTGGGATTTTCCTAAAAAAGATAATTAAAAAAAACAACAACACACACATTAAAAAAAAAAACCTTTTTAGTAAATACTTATATTTGCTTGACAGGGCAAGACTATGAAATGTTCCCAATTAATATTACATGGGATTTTATTCCGCCTTTCTTGTTTTAAAAATATATTTCAGAATTTACCTTGATTGTAATATACCTCATTGGCTGTGGTTTTGTTTGTTGGCCTAACTATAAAGGATCTGCTTATACCCTTGTGGGTTGGGAAGAATTAGGATTTATGAATTTATTTCCTCTGTTGTATTGTTTAAACAGCTTTGGTTTAGTTTTGATCCCTTCCTCTTGCCTTTGAGGCTGTTCCACGGTGTCAGCTGTTGACTGATAGTAAGAGAACTGCCTCACAGTGTGAATGAAAGAAAACTAGCGGTTGGTAAACACTGATAAGGGATAAATAGAAAGCGGTCAGGCAGAGATAGTTCTGTGGGAGCCCAGATTGTGTGCGGTCTGTTAAAATGAGATTCTGAGCCTGTCCTTTTTATTCTTCCTCCCCTCCCCTCCCCTGTGCGGCGTTTGTCTGGAAAATCTCCAGTGACCCGGCTCGGCAGTCCCAGGCTGCAGTATTCTCTTTTTGTATTTGTTTTGTTTTCTAACAAGGGTCAAGTTGGCCAATAGACACTTCCCTGATGCTTATAGACAGCTGTCATGACTTCAAGTACTTACAGTAGTTACATTTTACACAGATTCATGGTTCTGCACCAACAAGCACTGCAGCAAGAGATTTGGTGAAAAGCTAAATATGCACTTGATTTTGAAACCAGGTTTTCACGTGTGTTTATTACATATCGTTTCATAATTTACCTCCAAAATCCTGCAAGATTTTTTTTTTTTAAAAGCTGAGTAGCAGCTGAACATCCATCTTTTCTTATATCACCTATTACATATGTGCTCAGAGTATCATTTTCAAGTCAAAGCTACATGTATATATATCACCATGCTATATTAATTACAGTCACATAATTACACATTTACACTCTCTTCACTACAGACCCCAAGGAATATAAATCTTATTTCTCAATTAGAATCACTCTAAATGACTGTTTTATTCAATTCTTTTTTTAGGAGCAGTCTGTCCTATCCAGTAGTCATTGATTTTTTTTTTTTTTTTTTTTTTTTTGCTGGGGTGAATCTATCTTTTATGTGATTAAAAAGACCTTCAGAGGTCTTACCTTGAGGATCACCATGTGGTGTATTTACACAGAAAATAATTCAGCCCATTGTAGCCCAGCAGCTAATGAGATTGGTTGTTAAGTGAATGACACAAAGGCTACAAAAAAAAAAAAAAAAAAAAAAAGCTTAGCGTTTCGGGTGAATATCACTGTGTCCCTGTACACACACATACATACACACACACACACACACACACACACACACACGAACCAAACACACTCTCTCAGCAGCGAGACTCTGAACTACCCTGTACCCCACCTCGATATCCTTCTGCTCCGTCTCCTCCCCGATGTCACTATGAGATGCAAAACAAAGGCTAAAAAGGGCATGGTAAGTCGAGCTCGCGCATTCTGCCCTGTCGGACATGTTAACATGGGTGCATTTTAGATGCAGGAGACAAGTGATGCTGTTTGTCTGTGTGAGGATGTGCTGTGTTGTGTAAGCCTCAGGCTCAGATAAGTAGATTCATTGAAGGGTCAGTGACAGTGATGCTGTTTTATGTGACTCAGAATAAGATCGCCACGTTTTTTCTTGACCATTCTTAACTTCTGAATTGCTGCTGAAACTTTTCTCTCCATTTCTCTCTGTGAGCCACTTGGACTTGAACTCCATGTTTTAAAAGTAAAAAGGTTAATTTTTGGTGCCTGTATTTTTGTTAATGGTGCAGGCTACTCACATGTAGTTTATTGTTGTTGATCCTTGAGTAAAGCTTGACTCAGTGTCGTCCAAGGATTTATCTAAAAAGCACTGAGAGGCAATAATAGAGGAAGGCATGACAGCACGAGAGAGGGTCTTGTTAAGCACCCAGACTCAGTTTGTATCGATTGCTGAGCTGTTTAGATACTCACTCAAAAGTGAATTGATGTTGTCTCGACACAACGCTGTGCAGATATCTTGCACCTTCCCTCGGACTCCTCGTTTTGATCTCTGAATAGCAGCATCAGTGGTGATTGCTGAAACACAAACATTTAAGTGCATTAGCTTATCATGCTCCACTGTCAGGCTGGAAACTGGGTTAAAGTCCATCGCGTATATTAAACCCTGGACTTAAGTCAAATT